GGAGCTCGCTTAGAGAGCAAACACTCTGACGCCACCATGGGAGAGGGGGGGCTGGGAGCTCAACTGGAGAGCCAACACTCTGACGCCACCATGCTGGGCGCTCACTCAGCGAGCAAACACTCTGACGCCACCATGGGCGAGGGACTGGGCGCTCGCTTAGAGAGCCAGCACTTTGACGCCACCATGGACGAGGAGGGGCTGGGAGCTCAACTGGACGCGGCCATGGGCGAGGGGCTGGAAGCCCGCTACGAGAGCAGCCACTTCGACGCAGCCATTGGCGTGGCCGCGGCGGGGGAGTCGGACGGCGAGGGCGAGGGCGACGGCGGGCCAATGGGAGACGGCAGCACAGTCGCGGGCTCAGCTGGTGAGGGGTCGGTGTGAGGGGCGGCGGCGCCCATGGCCAGCCGGTGCTGGCCGCCCTTGCGATCGTGTGCGTCGGGGACAGTGCGGAGGATTTGCGGATTTGCGCGTTGCGTACAGTGCGAGCACGTTTTGGAGCCGGGGGGGGGGCCGATCACTGCCGCTGCGGGCATGGTCGCTGCTGGGCACGGTCGCTGCGGGCATGGTCGCTGTGCTGCCTGGCACGGTCGCTGTGTTGCCTGGCATGGTCGCTGTGTTGCCTCCGGCGGCCCTCCGGGGGCGCCTGCGGCGGGCTGCTCGCAAGCTCGAAAGGGGGCCGCAGCGCTGCGTCTCGCCAGGACACGGCCGTCGACACAAGGACTACGACACACGGACAACAACAAAGCCCCTGAGTCGACACGGTGCGCTCCCCTGGTGGTGGTGGTGTGGGTTTTGGGCGGTGGTGTGGGCTTTTGCTTTTGCTTTTGCTTTGGACTGGTACGCTGGGAGATGCGGTGCTCGAGGAGAACAAGAAGCAGATTTGCACTGGGACTGGCGGTCCACTAATAATAGATTGCGTTGCATTGTGCCACTCTGCCCCTGAAACCGTGCTGCCGTGGCCACGACGCGTCTCGGGCCCCCGTGCCCGCCGTGCAGCGCCGCCCGTCCGAGCCTGTCGCCACCCGTGCCGTGCCGCCCGCCCCAGCTCGTCGCCACGCGTGCCGTGCCGTGCCGTGCCGTGCCGTGCCGTGCCGTGCCGTGCCAGCCCTTTCGAGCGCAGCGAGCAGCCCGCCGCAGGCGCCCCCGGAGGGCCGCCGGAGGCAACACAGCGACCATGCCAGGCAACACAGCACTTGGGGGAGCTCCTCCACAGTGCAGGGGGGTGGTGCAAGGGAGGCGTCAACGACACGCTAACGTGCGGGACAGTGTCTCGGACGCTCTTCTCCTTCCCCGCAATGTCGCCAAGGCTCCCGTCGTATACAAGCCGCCGCCCTCCATGCTCTCCAACACGACGTCTGCAACACCTTCTCCTGCTCCCCCTCTTGTCTGAAACGGTTTCCAACATGGCCTTTCCAACGCGACACGAGTCTTCCGGCACGCTTGCCCCGGCTCGCCAGCCACCCTCTGTGGCTCCGAGACTTGCCCGGGCTCGCCAGTCACCTTCTGTGCCTCGGACAGTTGCCCCGGCTTTCCAGTCACGCTCTGCCCCGGCTTTCCAGTCACGCTCTGTGCCTCGGACACTTGCCCCGGCTTTCCAGTCACGCTCTGTGCCTCGGACACTTCCCCCGGCTTTCCAGTCACCCTCTGTGCCTCGGACACTTCCCCCGGCTTTCCCGTCACCCTCTGTGCCTCGGACACTTGCCCCGGCTTTCCAGTCACCCTCTGTGCCTCGGACACTTGCCCCGGCTTTCCAGTCACGCTCTGTGCCTCGGACACTTCCCCCGGCTTTCCAGTCACCCTTTGTGCCTCAGGGACAAGCCCTTGGCGGCGGCCATGTCGCCCTCTTCCCGCAGGCGGTGGGTCTGGAACAAGCGCCGTGGCCGGCCGTGATGTCGCCGCTCGGGATGGAGATGGATCTGGAACAAGGGCCGTGGCCGGCCGTGATGTCGACGCTCGAGATGGACTCGCTACAACAGCAACTGCTAGCACCCATGTCCACGTCCACGTCCTGGACGGATCTGTATCTGCTACAACAACCGCTAGCCATGTCCACGTCCTGGACGCATCTGCCAGAACAACCGCCGCTGGATCAAGGAGCGACGGATCTGCCACAACAACAACCGCCAGCACCCATGTCCACGTCCTGGACGCATCTGCCAGGACAACTACAAGCGCCGTGGCCAGCCGATCAAGGAGCGACGGATCTGCCACAGCAGCCGCCAGCACCCATGTACACGTCCTGGACAGATGTGCCAGAACAGCCGCCAGCCATGTCCACGCCCTCGATGGATCTGCCACAACAGCCGCCGCTGAATCAAGGAGCGATGGATCTGCCACAACAGCCGCCGCTGAATCAAGGAGCGACGGATCTGCCACAGCAACCGCCAGCACCCATGTACACGTCCTGGACGGATCTGCCAGAACAACCGCCGCTGAATCAAGGAGCGATGGATCTGCCACAACAACCATGGCCAGCCATGTCCACCACGTCGTCTCCCGAGCAGCAGCAGCAGCAGCAGCAGCAGCAGCAGCAGCAGCAGCAGCGGACCACCGTGTCCACAGATGCGACGGTGCAGACGCCGCCCACCCTCGCGGCCCTCCGCGCCCAGGGGTGGATTCTTCGGCGACCAGGAGAAGCGGAAGTCGACGAACAAGACTTGGGGCCGTGGTCGGCCATGACGTCGACGCTCGACCTGGACTTGCCGCGGCAGGCGCTGTGGTCGGCCCGGCTAGGGCCCATGGACGCCAAAGAGCCGCCGTGGCCGGCCATGTCGGCGCTCCGCTCCGGCGGCCGCGTGTCGGTCAGGCGAAGAATAAAGTGGTATCGGCGGCCACCACGACGACCGCCGCCACCGCCCACGGACGCGCCGCAGCCAGAACCGGGACCGCAGCCAGGACCGGGACCAGGACCGGGACCAGGACCGGGACCAGGACTTCCTGGACTACGCCCCTGGGGCCGCCCCCGCAAGCATCGCGAGCCAAAGCCAAAACGCCCCCGGGGCCGCCCCCGCAAGCACCCCCGGGCGGAGTGGGATTGGAGGCCTGAGGAGGAGGAGGAGGAGGAGGAGGAGGAGGAGGAGGAGGAGGAGGATTGTCAGCCACGCCCCGAGGAGTACTACCAGCCAGGGTTAGAGGAGTACGACTGGCTACGCCCCGAGGAGTATTACCAGCCAGGCCTCGGGGAGTACTACCAGCCATGCCTTGAGGAGTATTACCAGCCAGGGTTAGAGGAGTATTACCAGCCAGGTTAGAGTACCAGCATCAGCCACCACCACCACCACCACCACCATTACGACCACCACCACCACCACCATTACCGCCAGGGTTTGAGGAGTATTACCAGCATCAGCCACCACCACCACCACCACCACCACCATTACCACCACCACCACCATTACCACCACCACCATTACCACCACCATTACCATTACCACCACCACCACCACCACCATTACCACCACCACCACTACCACCACCGCCCTTCTTCCCGCTCACGGCGCTCCCGCTCGACATACTCCGGCGCGTCGGCTTCTTCCTCGGGTACCTGGACCTGCACAACCTGGCGGCGGCCAGCCGGTGGACCAAGCGGCACGTGGACCCGTTCTGGGCGCCGGCGGCGTGGCGGTCGGCGGGGCTCACGCAGGCCGAGCGGCAGTACCGGCGGTACCGGCCCGCGATGCACGAGGAGCACCTCGCTGCGTGGCGGGAGAGGCGGAAGAAGAAGGACAGGAGAAACAAGGACCCGGACCCGGACCCGGACGACCCGGACCCGGACGCGGACGCGGACCCGGGCCCGGACCGGGACCCGGACGTGTACTGGTGGGACAAGAAGCCGCTGCACTTTGCGTGCCACCACTGCTGGACCATCAAGGGCCCGCAGCACTTTGAGCAGGTGCTGCACCGCGTGGCAGCGCCGGCGGAGCGGCCGGCGCACGCCGACCCGGGGGCGCCGCTGCCGCCGACGTCCAAGCGGCCGGGGGCTCTGGAGGCGGCGGCGGCGCGGCGGGGGCCGGCGGGGGGGCCGACGTCTCTGCGCATGGCGGCGACGTGGGGGATGCGGCGGTTCTGCATAGGGTGCGGGGTGCGGGCGGGCTTCTACGGGCCGGGCGACGTGGTGGAGCTGCAGGCGGACAGGGGGCGCGGGCGGGGGGGCGCCGCGCGGATGGGGCCGGTGTGGGTGTGCCTGTGCCGGCGCGTGCACGCGCGGGCGGGCTACGTGACGTGCGGCGGGTGCGGGTGCTACGTGCCGCGGCCGCCGCCGCTGAGCGGGCCGTGCACGGCGCGGGCCATGCCGGGCGGCGAGGCCGAGGACGAGGCGGGGGTGCTGATCCTGCGCGGGCGCGGCGGCGGCGAGCCCGACCGGCCCGTGTTCGCGGGGCGCGAGCACGGGACGTGGGTGGCGGCCAAGCTCGAGGGGCCCAAGTGGAGGAAGATGGAGTGGCAGGGTCGGGGGCGGGCGGCGGCCGACGACAGCGGGCGGTGGGCGTGGGTGCGTGACTTGCAGGGCTGGCCGTGAGTGGGGGGGGGGGGTAATAGTGATGATGCTCGAGTGAGAGAGTGGTGTGCACAAAGTGATGATGGTGCAAGGAGAACAAGTTTGGACACTATGATGAGAGAACAAGTTTGGACACTATGATGAGAGAACAAGTTTGGACATGATGAGAGAACAGGTTTGGACACTATGATGAGAGAACAAGTTTGGACATGATGAGAGAACAAGTTTGGACATGATGAGAGAACAAGTTTGGACACTATGATGAGAGACCAAGTTTGCATGTCTGTCTCTGCCCCTGAAAGTGTCTCGCCGTGTGGGACGCTGCTCGAACAAGAGAGTCATGTGTACAACAGTGGTGATGCTCCAAGAGAGTGGTGATGCTCGAAGCACGCTGCCCTACCCACACACAACTTGAGTTCGCTTGCACTTGGAGAAAAGCGTCTCTTGTTCCACCGCGTCTCCCTTCAAATCGCGCATTTCCACACCAGACCTCCATCAAACAACAGGCAAGATGGCCGAGCGGTCTAAGGCGCCACGTTAAGGAGTTCCAATCCTTAATCCACGATATGGCATCTGCGTGGTCTGAAAGGGCGTGGGTTCGAATCCCACTCTTGTCAAGCATCTTCTCTTTTTGCCGTCCCCAGTCTCTACTTCTCCTTTCTCTCTCTTGGGTTCGAATCCCACTCTTGTCAAGCATCTTCTCTTTTTGCCGTCCCCAGTCTCTACTTCTCCTTTCTCTCTCTTGGCATTCCCATCTACGGGACGTGCTCCATAGCGGGCAATGAGCTAGACCTCTTCACTGTGGCAGAGTGGTCCAACGACAACAACCTGCACGCACGCACGCGCTATAGCACGGAAAAGTCTGGGTGGCACGCGGCGAGGTCCACACAAGGATAGCTCTCGATAACAGAGTGGTGATGCTCCAAGTTTGCCCGTCTGTCTCTGCCCCTGGCCGGCCAAGTCCTGGAAGGCAAGAAGGCATGGATCGACAACTGGCAGGAAGCCTTGCAGGCTGCAATGGCCCGGAAGGTCCCCGAGGCACAACATGCCGTCACCTGGTATGACGACTCTGAGGCGGCTATACGGGAGGTCGGGTGGACCAACTGGTGTGTGTGCAACATGGCGACTGCTACACCAAGACCCTAGGGAGCCGGGGAGGGAGCCGCAAGCCGAGCCTGTCACGGAGCAAGAGCAAGAGCGAGCAGCCGGCGCAGGAGGGAGGTCTGCAGGACGAGGACGGCGGTTTACCTACTCTACTCAACAGGCAGCCCAAGGTCCAGCATGGCTGGAAGACGCCCTACCACGTGTTTCATTCCTTCTCCAACGGCTTCACACACTCCCGCATGCAGGCCACCTCGGCGTCTTTGGGTGCAGGGCATACGCAATGACCGACAGGGCGCAAAACAAAACGCAACGCCTGAAGCGGTCTGAGCCCAAGGCGTGGATAGGTTACCTCATCGGCTATGCAGCCAACAACATGTACAAGGTGTGGGTGCCGTTCAAGAAATGCAGTCATGGTCGCAAGGGATGTGATGTTTGATGAGGACACCATATCTGACGGTAGGCTGGAAACCCTAGAAGAAGGGGTCAGGGAAATGGACCTTGAAGCCCTGACGAGGCACCTCGAGAGCCTCTTGGCAACGGTAACGGAACCTGAGACTGAGACTGAGCATGTGGTAGCAAACCACGAAGACCCGGGGGACGGGGACGTCAGGGACATGACAAAGCTTTCGGAACATGACAACCGAGTCGCGTCTACAAGTTTCGATAAACATGGAAGGCTCGTCAAATGCAAGGCCCGGCCCGGCCCGGCTTGTTGTCAGGGGGAGATCAACAGCCGGCGAACCCCACAGAGAGCAATTATCACGCTGCAACACTGGCCGGCCGACCATTCCGCACGATTATGGCGACAGCTGCACGCTTCGACCTTGAGTTGTTGCAGTATGACGCCGTCAACGCCTCTGTGAACGCCGCGCCGCGCCACCCTGGATGAGGAGGGTTTACATGCGCATGCCACCCGGGCACAAAGCCCTGTACGGCCTCAGGAGATGACCACTACTGTGGCAGAGGGCCCTGGCCCCGTCAAGCGCCCTCACAGCCCTCGGCCATACTCGGGTCCCGTCCCGTCCCGTCCCTCATGAACCAACCCTGTGCATTCACCCGTAACGGGGTCATGCTCTTCTTCTGCGTGGACGGACGACATTGCATTGTGCTGGCCTCCAGGGAGCAACAGCGGGAGGAAGCCCTTGAAGTCATGGAGAGCTTGAAGGCACCTTTGTACTCGACAGTTGCCCTCTTTCCAGGTAGAGTATCTAAAGAACTTGGTCACCTCCAGCTCCAGAAACGGCCCCAGAGATGGTCAGGTTAGCTTTGCCACGTACAAGTGGACTTTAGGGGTCTAGAGTTCCACGGGGGTAGTCGCGGCACCACAGCGCCTCTTCGCATCCGCGACCCGTTCACGTCGTCGGTCCCACAGGCAGGCAGGTGGAACCATGGTCCAGGGGGCGACAGCGACGGCGACAGCGACAGCGACAGCGACACTGCCAGCAGGTCCCGGTCCCGGCCCCTCGGCTCCGGCGCGTAGAACGAGAACGGCACGCCCTTGACGTCTACAATGTCGTCCAAGTCCCGGCGGCGCACTCCTGGGTTGCGTGCGTGGCCGGGCCTGGAGGGTTTCGGACCAAGGCTGTATGAATCTCTCTCCCTCTTCTGTATATCTTTCTTTCTTCTTATCCCCTCCCCCCCTGAGAATACACTACCGAAAGACTCTCTTGTCCCTCCAGACCCGCTCGACTGGTAGGGCACATGTCTCGCCCGCCGATATGCCATGCATGGCCTACGGTGTGAGCTGTGGCCTGCCGTGTGTGTGTGTGATCAGTAATGGCTTCCCGTGTGTGGCCTTGGAGACGAGTGGGGAAGGCTGGCGCACACCGGGACTTGGGAAGTCGGCCGTGTGGATCAAGATACGGAGACGCCGGGCTCGGGTAGAGCCTCGGGCCGAAGGACATGCACGCGTGGAACCGACTCATATCGAGGAGGCGGTGGCCAGTGTCAGTAGGCAAAGTAGTTGTCCATGTGATGCCAGTTCTAGGCAAAATGATATCTCTCCATGTCCGTGAATGTGCTGACTCTCCCCGACACAATAGCCAAGAGGCTTTGACTCGGGATCAACACCACCATCGTGGTAAAGCACCAACAATTCTTCTCCAGCTATGGAGCAAAAGCTCGGGAACCCACCAGCAAACCGCCCGCCTTCCGAGCGCAGCGAGCAGCCCGCGGCAGGCGCCCCCGGAGGGCCGCCGGAGGCAACGCGAAGGAAAACAGCACCAAACAGCCTTTTTGTTCTTCTCTCCTGCCCTCCTTTGCCTCCGGCGGCCCTCCGGGGGCGCCTGCGGCGGGCTGCTCGCTGCGCTCGGAAGGCGGGCGGTTTGCTGGTGGTGACTCTCGCCTCCTTGCCCCGGCGTCAGTCTATCCCCTTTCACAATTCCGGCGAGATTGGGGCTGCTGTCGACATGCCCATTCAAAGAGAGACGGGCAGCTGCCACTGGGCGTTGTGGGGCTGAATACGAGGAAGGTTTTGTATTAATGCTATGCTACATATAATATATAGCGACGGTCACCTCCGAGAACACCACAGCCAATCGACCCCCTTCCACTTTCTCTCTCCCCCAACACAATTCTCACGGCAACCCTTGCCGACACGGTCCGCGTCGTCATGGTGTGACCAAAGTAGAGGATTATTACCTCTTCGCCCGCTCGCTGGGCGGGGCGGGGCGCGGAACTTGAACGTCTTGGTCGCCACGTCCTTGTCGAGCTGGAGAGGCTTCTGCGGTTAGTCACACAGCTGTCAGCTCCGTCTGTTGTTGTAGAGAAAGGTGGTAGTATAGTTGTAGTGAGTGCGACGGCTGCTTACAGAGTCGACGACAGAGTCGACGACAGAGTCGACGCAAAACGAGTCCATGAAGCCGACGTCGCTGACCTGATTGCCAACACACGCGTTAGTCGCTGGCAGCTAATTAGTTAAACAGCGGACGGAAAGACGCAACATACCTCGTCGGCACGGATAGTGAACTCGCTGCCCACAGCGACAGGACAGGACCGATGCGCCTCGGGACGCGCGCAATGACCCGAGTGATCACCTGGACGGGGCTGGGCTGGGCAGGGCAGATAGCATAACGAAGTCGTCGACGGCCTTTGAGATGTCGTGACCGGAGTGATGACCTGGACGGGGCTGGGCAGGGCAGATAGCATAACGAAGTCGTCGACGGCCTTTGAGATGTCGCGGGCGCGCAGGCGCGGCGCGGCGTAGTCGATATCGAGCACGAAAAACGTGTCGCCGCGGGACCCAGACGCTGATGTTGCCGGCCTCGAGGTTGAGCTGGCCCTTGGCGTCGGCGGGCGAGGGGAGGGGCGCACGAACACGTACGTCGTCGAGCTCGGGCAGGTACGCGCCCAGGTGCTCGCTCATGGCGCGCACCGCACCGCGGCGTAGTCGATATCGAGCACGAAAAAACGTGTCGCCGCGGGACCCAGACGCTGATGTTGCCGGCCTCGAGGTTGAGCTGGCCCTTGGCGTCGGCGGCGGGCCCAGTAGCCGACCATGAAGACGGGGCGGCGGCGGTACAGGGCGAATAGGGCTGCCTCGATGTCGGCAAAGATGATATCCACGTCGTCGGCGCGGAGGACAACGACTCGCAAGGGCTCCAGCAGGGTCGGCAGGTTGCGGCAGAACAGCGCCACGCGCGCCGGGAAGTCGACGTCGGGCAGTGGCATCACCACCATCTGGTGGCCCTCCGCCGCTGGCTGCTCTTGGTAGCGGCGCTGCATCATTCGAAGGCCGGTCGCGTCCGTCAGTGCCACAAACACGCCGAACCGCTCCAGGTCGCGGCGGCGGTGCAGGGCGAATAGGGCTGCCTCGATGTCGGCAAAGATGATATCCACGTCGTCGGCGCGGAGGACAACGACTCGCAAGGGCTCCAGCAGGGTCGGCAGGTTGCGGTAGAACAGCGCCACGCGCGCCGGGAAGTCGACGTCGGGCAGTGGCATCACCACCATCTGGTGGCCCTCCGCCGCTGGCTGCTCTTGGTAGCGGCGCTGCATCATTCGAAGGCCGGTCGCGTCCGTCAGTGCCACAAACACGCCGAACCGCTCCAGGTCGCGGTTTAGCCGCAGCACGGGGTGGATGTGCGTGTACATGAAGGATGTCACGTCCATTTTTAAATGTGTGTGTGTGTGTGTGTGTGGCCCTCCGCCGCTGGCTGCTCTTGGTAGCGGCGCTGCATCATTCGAAGGCCGGTCGCGTCCGTCAGTGCCACAAACACGCCGAACCGCTCCAGGTCGCGGTTTAGCCGTAGTACGGGGTGGATGTGCGTGTACATGAAGGATGTCACGTCCATTTTTTAATGTGTGTGTGTGTGTGTGTGTTGCTGTATGGTGTTATGTGGTGAGATGGTGTTGCTTGGTGCATGTTATATCCAAAGGATGGGATACTCGCGAGGGGAGGGGCGGGGCGCACGAACACGTACGTCGTCGAGCTCGAGCTCGAGCTCGGGCAGGTACGCGCCCAGGTGCTCGCTCATGGCGCGCACCGCACCGCACCGCACCGCACCGCGTCCAA